GTTTTTATAGAATAATGTTGATGAATTGCATGCAGAGCGTCTTCGCAGGGCAACGGAACATCTGTGCAGTCCCGTTGTCTTCCACAAGGAGTCTGCAGTTAGGAAAACACAGCTCAAATCATTCAGCCAATACGTAGAGACCAGGCCAGGTGAGGTCCTTTACTTTCGTTGTCACTGACTGCATAAAGTTTATGGAGGATTTTACATTGTTGAACAGTTCAGTAATCGTTAAATTAATGTATTTAATGCATAAGCCTGTTGCAGTCAGGTTTATTTTTCTAGTTAAATAGGCTTAATGTGAAGACTATCTTGAAGTGTCTCAAGAATGCTAACAGTTTAATAACAGCTGTATAAGGTGTTTCTATACACTTTGTGATTTTTTTAAGGAAGATGTCCGATCTGTCTGAATGGTTCATCTGATAAAGAAAAATGTCTTCATATTCAGTTATAGTGAGTTTGTGATTGTGCCCAGGTGAGAATGAACTCTATCAAGGTTTAATATCTCTCTTTCTCTCGTTTCAGAGGTTAAAAGGCAGAGATCAGTGCCTGAAGATCTAAAGCGGGCAGCCGAGGAGAGAGGAGCTTTGACAGAGACAGAAGGACGAAAGCCAACTGAAGATGAAGTACTTAAATGCATATTTAAATTCTCAGTCAGAGCTGTTCTTTCGTACTGATGTTGTCTGTGACACCAGGTCATAGTTAGACATCAAACCTGCACACAGTCACGCACATCTGTCTGAGGGCCAGAGAGGTTTTTTAACACGGATGTCAATCTGTTCTTCCCTAAAGCTGAAGAGAGCAGCCAAGTTTAGACTGCTGTTCCCTGATAATTGTAAGATTAGAAAAAAAGGAAATGGACAGAGTAGTAGATATACCTCTTTCACTCCTCCTGTATATCCTTTTCTCGGAACCCTTTTAATTTGTTTTGAATGTTTACATTTTTAAATAGTTCAAATGTAATTTATTAATTTTAAATATTGTAATAAATATTCATTTAAATTATTGAAAATATAATTTTTAATATTTAAAAATAAAAATATTGTATATATTTTATATATTGTGTACATAAATATATATATTGTGTGTGTGTGTATATATATATATATATATATATATATATAATTATCTTTTCTTGTCCCATCTTCGTTTATTCTCTCCATGTAGGCTGATCTAATGAAATTTTAATTATTGTGGCACCATATATAGGGCCAGAGCAATAGAGAAACATACCCTGGGAAGAGTGAGATAGATAGAGACACAGAAAGAGTGAGAGGGGAAGGTCAGTAGAGACCAGCTTTGCCCCTCTCTGTGTAGGGGTTAATGGGTGTTGAACTTGCCCATTACCCAGCTCAAGCTGAATTACCCAGCGAATGATGTTTGCATTAATATAATATATATGGAAATTTCAACACTTAATTATGGCAGAGAGGCGAGAGCAGAGGGGAGGGGGCTGATCATGTGTAAAATTGATTTGTGGGAGAAGTATTTGATAGAGCAGCAAGGAAGAGGAAGGTGGAGTTTGATGGACAGCAGGAGGACTCAGGCAGAAAAAGTGCTGTCTTGGATGGAAAAAAAAACTTTCTTCCCCATTTCCCTCGTTCCTATTATGAAATAAGGTGCATCAGCACTAAATATATATATTTTTTTGCAGCAATCTTTAGGATGTGAATTTAAATTAGCACTCATTTCCGCTCCCCCTCTATCTCAGAATAGTAGGAAGGATGGAAGGAGGAGAGGACAGAGGGGGGCGATAAACGAGTGGAATAAAGAGGGGGTGGGAGTGCTTGTCACTATCACACACTCAGAAATAAGCGTGCAGTTTAATTACTCTATTTCTCCCTAATCACCATCTCATCCCTCACTCCAGTGTTTCCCACGAGCCAGAGGGTGCTGCTGCCACCAGGGCCACGTGTGTGAGAGAAAGGGAGCGTGTTCCCAAATGTGTACATGAGTGAATCTGAGCACACGCATGTGCTGCGTAGATCTCTTAGATCCCTGCTGATATTATTAAATAAATAAATATAGAATAAAAAAATAAAGCTTTAAACATAGTCAGAAAACTTTATGGTACAGTAGCTCTGAGTAGTTCTTTTTGATTTGATTTTATAAACATGTACTCCATTTTTAACACAATACTTTTATTTTATGTTAATATAGCTAATCTTTTTATTTATTTATCTTTCTTTTTTTTTTTTTACTTTTTTAAATTTTTTATTTTTTTATTTTTATTTATTGAACATTTTTAACCTCATCTTAGTAATTAGCCTAATTTAGGATTGTTTGTATGTCATTTTTATCACTTTTAAAAATTGACAGCGGTACGTCATTTCCAAAAAAAAAGCAGAAAAAAGGAACATTTCATTTGCTTAATTAATTAAAGCAATATTCACCAGTCATCATTATGACCACTGTTCCCCTGGTATTAAAAAGCTATATAAACCCAGGATGTGATGCTTCATTTCGAACCTCTCATCACTCCCCCTTCCTCTCGTTTGTTCTTGCCCAGCAGAAAGCGTTCAAAGACACCAGTCAGTACGTGGTGGGAGAACTGGCGGCGCTGGAGAGTGAGCAGAGGCAGATCGACACGCGGGCCTCGCGTGTGGAGAAGCGTCTGCGCTATCTCATGGACACAGGTACGCCGCCCAATTACACTGTAAACAGTTTTGGCAAATTGAGCGTTCACAAACTCTTATGGAGTTTGGGAAGTGTGAATCTTTGAAGCCGGGGTGTTGGGGCGGCAGCGGGGATATGAAAAGGGGCGGTGAGGATGCAGGGAGGCTCTCTGGGCCGCCGTGATAAGAGAGCCTTCATGGGCGCTGATAACTAGTGCTGATAGCATCTGCCAGCCAGCCACTATTGAACAGTACCGTGCAGCCATGCGCAACAGAACCCCATATCTGGCCTTCAATGATATGCTGTAGAAGAGAGAGAGAAGGAGGGAGAGAGGGGGATACGGCAGAGGGGTAAAGGGTGAAGAGGGGAGGAAGAGAAATGGGGAGGGCTGCTGTTTGGGGGCTGGACCGAAAAGGAAATGTTGAAATAATGAAAGACATATTAATAGATACATGTGCTTGCTCTCCTCCTCCCTCTCTCTCTCCCTCTGTCGCTCTCTCTTCTCCTAGCATATACACATATGAAAGGATGTGGGGTGATCTTTCGGGTGTGTATTGCAGGGAAAAAGGGCTGCGGAGCCTTTGTTAAAACATGGAGCTCCGTTCTGAGACTCCAGCGCCTCAATAACTAAAATTTAAGAAAAGCTTCCTTCCATCCAGATGCTGATACGAAACAATCATTTCTCACAAGGGCAGCATCGGGAAGCGAGGGTTGAAAAAAGGAGGGGAAAGTAGACGGTTGAATTTTTGTGCTTCTCCATCACATTGAGGATGATATCATGACTATCAGAGTTTTGTGTTTGCCCAACCTTCCATCCATCCTTCCCTCGCTCGCTCTCTTCACACTCACCTGGACCCTGTTGAAGTCAAAGCCGCTGTGTCTGTTTGAAGGGTTTTTTTTCTCTCGCTCTGAATGATAAATGGCTTGAATGCCCTAGCAGGTGGAGAACCAAACCAGACATTTACACACTCACACACAGAAATAAGAGGCACAGTTACACACCAGACCCCATGTACAAGTCTCACCTTAATGTGCTTACCTGTCTGAGCTAGTGCACGCATTTCAGCACTGCAAACAGAAGCATTCACGCCGCTGTCAGGTTCACAGACAACATAGTCTGCCAGAAACAGCCTCTATAGCTAAATATACACAAAACAAATGTCATATGTTATGCTCAGAATACACATATTTAATATAATCATGCTAAGCTGTGTTGCTCTGTATTAGTACAAGTATTATAAATAAGTATTGTATATTGTCATAAGTTTTTTAACTACATATTTATAGCATGTAATTATTTATATGTCACTAGAAATTATTCAGATAAATATATATGACATATGAATATATGTGATATGTACAGTTAGGGTTGTGCCCAATATAATAGTAATATATAACTTTACTATATATAATATATAACAAAACCAGTCATAAGGGTCTTTTTTTATGAAACTGAGATTTCTGAAAACATCTGAAAGCTGAATAAATAAGTTTTCCATTAATGTATAGTTTGTTAGGATCGGACAATATTTGGCTGAGATACAACTATTTGAAAATCTGGAATCTGAGGGTGCAAAAAAATCTAAATATTGAGAAAAGTACCTTTAAAGTTGTCCAAATGAAGTCCCTAGCAATGCATATTTGTAAAAATTGTCAAAAATTACGTTTTGATATATTTACGGTAGGAAATATACGGTTACAAAATATCTTCATGGAACATGATCTGGTTTTGTGGTCCAGGGTCACATATTTAGAATATATATTCACAACATGCATACAATGATGACTGCAAACAAATAAGCAAAAGTTAAATAAATGTGTATGCATATCTGTATCTATGCACACATATAAAGTTATATTTATATACATATAAAAACTGTATTAAGAACTACTCGTGATCCCTGATACCCCCTCCCCTCTCATTATACGCTCTGCCTTAGTCTGCTGGGTTTTTTTGCATTTGTTTCCCAGATGAATTCACAGTAATTGGGCTGGTTAATTTATTTACTGTGTGCAGTTCACAGCACATTAAAGAATGAAGATAATTGAACACGAATTGTCAAGTGTCTTCTGATATCAGGCGTATTACAGAAGGGAATGCGTATAAAACTCTATTTCCATGCAACCATTGTTTATGGTAATTAAGTACACAGATGTATTCCTTGGTTGCCTTCCAAGCTTATGGCGACTGCCATTGTTGTCTTCTATTAATATGTAATCAGTAAATAGTTTAATTTTCTAATCTGCAGTTGGAGAATTCACTTTCTAACAGCTCTTAATTATGGCAGAGCCCTAATGATGCAGCCGCTGATGGGCTAGGAGGCCGTAAACGGAACGCAGAGTGCTCGGGGGAACACAGAGGCTTGCGGTGGCTCCTGCCTAATGAACTTGTTATTCCCACACCAGAGGGAGCAGTGTCCTTCACACACACTCACTCGCCAGCAACTCAACCATTACCTCAGTTAGCCCACATCCCCTGGAATTACGTCTAAATATGTTATTGTCACCCGATTTTCTAAACATATCAATTTTGAACGTTTGGCAAAATCAAAAGCGAGAGAGGAGAGCTATTCGCACACTCGCCATTCTGTCCGAGCACAATACCGTCCCGAATCACATTGAAATTTTTTCAGCATGCAGCATTGAAATGTGTGTAAATGTTATCTGCACTGCTTTTGATATTCAGCAAGCCTCTGAATGCATCTCCCTGACATCTGCTCAGCATGCATTTATGCACACATATGATTTTCAAATTGCTTTATAACCTGCAACAATGAACGCAATTATGAAAATAATGGCATTTAAAGGCGCTCTAAAACCCACAAACCTACAGAGTTCTCGATAAGAGATTTTAAAAAAAGCACAGAGGAAAAGAATGAGTTTTAGGTGAGATTAACATATGTTTAAAAATTGCACTTGAGTCTGATAAGATTGACACAGGTTTTATTGCATGCTAATCCGTTCTCTTTTTCTCCGCCGCGGTCACAGAAATTCATACAAGACGGATATCATCAGCTTAATGCAGTTTACAGAAAAGCCATCACAGTAGTCTGTGCCGGAAAAACAGACGCACAGCGGTGTCAGAAGAGGCCCGTTATGTTTGTTTTATTCATGGAGACGTGGCCGTCCTCTTCCGGGCTTCTTAACGGATGTGCACCTTTTTATATTTCAGTCTCAAAACGTCAGTCCTATTTTTTTTTTTGTCGCTTTTCCCCCCTCAGTTTTCCCACATTAATTCACCGTGCCCACATTCCAAGGCAGTGTTGGCCATGCAGAAATAATTGCTTGAGTGTCTGCATTTATAGATCTCAGCTCCGCCAAGACTGAAATGGAATTGCTTGTGTGGCTAAGGCAACATGCTTGTAACCAGCCCCTTAGTTTGACTAAAGATTTAAGCTTGGCTACGTGAGTCGCATGGGGAAATGGTCTCCAAGCTGAGACAACAGCTAACAGCTAACACCGCTTTAAGTATATTATCAGGCAAGTTCTTTCAGAAACTTATTGCTAAAGAAGCTTAACATTAATTATTGTAACTTTGGGAAGATTACATCCACAGCATGCTTGTAAGCGGTGGCATAGTCCTCTTGACCTCCTATGCAAGAGCTTAAAGACACTAGAATGGCATTTCAGCTGCATTAATAGGATAACCAGTATAATCTTTCCGCAGTAAGAGAAGGAAAAGTGTTTAGAGCATAATACTCGCCCCGGTTCTGGGGACGAGACGGGTTTTGTGATGTCTCTCGCAATCGGCACGCACCGGGCTTTATCAGTGTAATCGCAAACTCTTTTTCTCTCCCTCTGCTGTTCTCTTTCTTCTGTTGTCTCTCTTTCAGTTCTTTTTTTTCCCTCTTCTCCCTCTGTCCTATTCTTTCTCCTCCATGGGATTTGCATGCTAGTTCAGTAGCTTGTCCACTCTAATTTTAAAGACCAAAGACCTCGTTTAGCCTTCCTGCTAAGCGTGCGCCGTGAGTAGCGGAAAAGTAAGCCTGGAGACAAACGCAGGAATTCGGCTCATAAGGATGGCTTTTATCGGCACGACCAAAGGCCAGCGCTGGATCAGGAGGTGACCGCCTATTCAGGTTTAGTGCTGGACTATGTGCTCAACTTCAAGAGCTGGTTAACATCAGAATGGTCCATTTTCAGCTGCTGGCTTTTGCGGCCTTTGTTCTTCCCGCTGGTTTTAATTCTCACCGGACCGTTACGCACGCAGCGTAGATGGCCTTTGTGAAGTCATGTATTCTTGCTACCTAATATAAGCAGGTTAGACCTTTAGTCTCAATTAATGCATGTTGTAATACATTAGCACTAGTCTTGCATTTGTCCAGTTTATTGCAGTGGTCTCTGGAAGCGAGAAGGAAAACGCCTCACATCAGCCCTTTTTAATCTCCGAGGCCGTTTGAATGTTCGAGAGGCAAAAACAATTTAATTAGTTAAGTTGCATTGACTTCGCATTCAAACCCCCAACCAGCAAGCCCTCCCTCCGAAAGCGTTTCCCAGATGTGAAGAGGGTTTTTTTTTGGTCTGGTGTCAGGCTTTCAAACATTCTTTTAACAGTTGGATGAAAGGGGATTTTAAGGAAGATTAGAGAAGGGGAATCCTCCAGGCATTGTCTGAGAATCTTAAGATAAAACGCACAGGGTGGATAGTGTCTGCGGAGGGGGGAAGGGTTTGTTGGTTGCGGGAGATACGGCCTGCATTGAGAGACATGTAATTTAGATTTTTATAACGACACGGAAATTACGACCAGTTGCCGTTGTAGCGCTCCCTCTCCATCCCTGTTTGTTTTCCCTTTCCCTCTATTCCCCCCCTCCCATGTGTTTTGCAGTGGCCTTGCTGTCCTCTAAATTGTTGGTGTGAAGTTAAGTTAAACGCTGCTACATGTGGCATTGCAGGCAGGCAGTGATATGCCTGATTAACATTTTCAAAAAGGGCACAATGATGGCGCTTATTATAATCTCCCCTTTATTGAAGCATCTTGAGGCCTTTTCATCTTTCCCCCCCTTTGACTGCCATTCCAGTA